CCACCGTGGTCGCCTCGCAGTCCACGCCACTGCGCGCGAGTCGGCCCTGCGCGCGAGCCAGGTATGAAAGGAAGTGGGGAGCCGGCCTGAGGGTCCGAGCTGGCGGAGGGCCCTGGCGGCCTCACACGTCCGAGGACCCGACGGGGGAGGAGCTTGCCAGAGATGGCCCCGGGCGCGCGTCACCGCAGAGACTTTTTGGCTGCACCCTCCGAGTTCACACAGTCCAGCCAGGGCGCGGTCCTGCGTGCGGAGAGAGGAGGCCAGAAGGACACCCCCACCACCTGCTCCCTCGGACCGGGTTCCCTGGGAGTGTGAACTACCCGGGTCTCACGCTCACCCTACTCCCCACCTTAAAAACCTAAAGCCGTTTCCCCCAAGAAAATCTAAAGGAGTAGGCCTCCTGGTTTGAGTTCACTGCAGAAGAGAGAGGAGGGGAAAGGTTGCTGGCAAAGACTGGTCAGCCAGTGCCCCCCCCCCACTCCCCGGGGGTGGGGGACTTTTAAGGATTCCTGGGTAGAATGTCAAGGGCAATTGGGAGCTTGGAATTGGGCTACTCAACACAAGGTGGATGGTTCGAACCCACAAGTCGCTCCAGAGAAGGAAGCGTTCTGCTCCAGTAAAGATTGAGAGCCAAGGAACCCCAAAGGGGGCCAGTTCTCATGTCCTGGAGGGTTACTATGGACTAGGGTCTACTTGATGGTAGTGGATTCGCCCAGAATGTCAGGAGAGACCAGGCCCTGAAAAGGGGCATGGTGCTTGGTAGAGGATGGGGAGGGGGGTGGGGAGAGGGGTGGAAGGGTGACCCTCCCTGTGACAGGTTGACAGGGTGGCTGCAACAATGTTTCCTGTTGCACTTGGTGTTTCTGAGTGGGAACCTAACAACATGCACCCAGCACCGTTTCCTGTCATGGCTGCTCTGTAGGATGGGGTAGCACTGTCTACAGAGGGTGCCCAAGGCTCCGATCTTTATGGAAGTCGGCCACCACCTCTGTCCCCCTCACAGAGGCTCATCTGTTTGACTCTGCCACCCTGGGAGAGCCGCTGAGCATAGTCGCTGCCCCACTAGGGGTCCTGGTCTTGGCTCCACAAGGCAAGAAGGCCCTTCCCTAAGAGCTAGCTCCTTGAACGACTTCAGTCAAGGTCATGAAAAGAAAAGGACACTCCGGGAGTCTTAGTGGCACCGTGGTTACGCAGCGCAGTGCTTTCTACTACTCCCAGGAAGAGTGGTAGTCTCCGAAACACACAGGGTTTCTGCCATCGACTGCATGCCAGCGAGTTTGTTTTTTTATGAGCCACAGGGGCTGTGCATGATCTACTAAAGTTCAGAGTGCACGCAGCTGGCCCTTCCTGTCTTGTCCGGCAAATACAACTTGCTGGAGGTGTTTCCACAAGTGCTGTCACTGAGCATGAGTGATAAATCGGTCACCAGGTGCCACATCACATGTGGTGGATGCTAGTCTTCTCGGGGGTCCCAAAGAAAGCGTTGTCTCCTGTCTGGTGTTCCCCAAGGATACGGCCTCCATTGTATTCCTGATGGGCAAGAAAGTCATATCAGAATGCTGCACTTTGAAAAGTCTGGGCAAGTCTTGCAATCGATACTTCAAGATTGCCTGGTTTCAGCGTCAACTTCTGGACAAGAAAAAAAAATTTTTTTTTAAATGAGAAGCTCATGGGGATCATTGACAACTGATGTTGGCGAGGAACTTGGACTCAAAGAAGTGAGTTATAAGCCCCATCGTTTTACTAGGAAAGTTGAGCCTGGAAATATTATGATTATATAAAAGAGTGACTTTAAAGACTACGTTCAAGAAGCTAATTTCAGGCATCAGTAATTATCCCAAATGTTTAAATGCTTTTTACAACTGCTTTCCAAGCAATTCTTCTGGGGGACAGGGTGCAGCAGCAGGGTGTGGGGTAAACGCCCCCACATGTAGTCATTCCTTCCTACTGGCTGGTGTCTTATTCCTGGGTGTTCGGCCTTCTGTCCGGTCTCATAAAGCTGCCCCACCGAGCAGGTTAATTAGCTGCGGGGAGGGGGGGAGGGGCTGGGATAGGCCATTTCTTAAAGGGCTGCTGGCGGTCAGCGCTGGGGCTGGCAGGAACGATGGGAGTCAGTGGAAGAGCAGGCAACAGTAAGTCAGAACAGACTCTTTTGCATCAGGCAGTCCCAGGAACAGAGCAGTGGTTAGAGATGAGATGGAAGACCCAAATTGGACACCACTTCCAGGAATGAGATAAGATAGCCCAGGTTTTGAAGAACCGGGGTCATCAGGATGGACTCCTGGCACCGAGGACCAAGAGGAAGATCCAGAGAGCCATGAATTTGCCCAACAAATACTCTTTCATTGGACCTGCTGGGAATCTGGTCTAAGGGTTATGTCAGAGAAGAAAACAGATCAGACTTCCTACCCTCACAGAATTTACATTCTACTAGAGGAAGCCAGCAACAAGCAACCTAATAAGTAAATAAAACCATATGTTAGAGAATAGCAAAGCTGCTATTAGCTATAGCTTTATAGCTCACTGCCATCCAGTCCATGCGGAGTCAGTGTGACCTCCTAGGAGGGGGTAGAACTGGCCCTGGGGGGTGTCTCCAGACTGTAACTCTTTATGGAAGCAGAAAGCTCTCTCTTTCTCCTGAGGAGTGGCTGGTGGTTTCAAACTGCTGACCTTGTGGTTAGCAGCCCAACACCTTACCGCTACACCACCAGGGCTCCTACAAAGGCTTAGGAGAAAGAACAAATAAAGCCGAGAAGGAGGTTAGGAAGTCTGTATATACTGAAATGTGAGGTGGGTGTCACAGAGAAGGTACTCTTTGAGAAGACATGAAGGAAATGAGGAAACAAGCAATGTCAATTCCTAGAGAAAGAGCATCCCCAATATCAGAAGAAGGTACCAGAGGGGGGCTCTGTACTTCACCAGGGTCAAAGGTCCAGGTACTGGGACTAGATCACAGGGTCTGTCAGACCAACAGCGTGGACTGATTGCTGAGTCACCTGCAATTGAATGAAAGCTGCTTAGCTCAGAACAGGGACAGATTCTTGTCCATCTTTGTGCCCAGAGCATCACACACAGGTGCCCAAGAAATGTTGATTGAACCAAGCATAAACCCCAAGAGCCTGAGTGGGGCTGAGAGAGATGTGATCCCCTAGTGCAAGCTGTTCCCCGCAACCTGACCCCCACTCCCCAGCAGAGGTGGCACTTCCACTATAGAAGGTGAAGATCCTATTTCTCTCTTGGTGGCTGTCTTCCTGATCCGATCATGAGATGTGGAGGGAGGATGGAGGCCATCTTTCAACACTGTATCCTCAGCATCTGACATGCAAAGAGGTGCTAGAAGGAAGGGATGGAGGCCACCGTCCAGGGGAGCCTGCAGCCCTGCTCGGCACTGAAGACGTCAGACAGATCTTCGTTCAGCCCCGTAATGCAGATGTGTGCTCTGTTTGACATCTTCAGGCTTTATATGCTAAAACGGTATCTTGATGCCAAATTATGGTGCTGGTTGTATAACTCGGGCAATCTATTACAAAAGCATTGGATTCTGTGTGAATTCTGCACTGAAAGGCAAGTGGCTTTTGTGGTAGGTAAATGATCCATCAGTAAAGTTGAGGTCATTTTCAGACCATGTTTAGACATGCTGTCAATGATAAGCCAAAGAGACATATTTAAGCAAGCACATTACCATCCTTCCTAATAGATGTTTAAACCAGATTGATTGCGAATTTACTTTTCCCTTATGTGGTGCTAGCCACCTTAAATCAGATAATGCTGGCCTCCATCACCTAAGGTAGTTTACTGATAGGGATTGCTGAAAATAGAGCACATTTCAAACCTCTTGATGTTGTTTTGGGTTTTATTTTGGGTTTGTTTGTTTTTTTGAGCCCTACATAAACCAGTCCCAACAGACATATTATTCTGCTCAATTGTTTCTGAGTGAGAAAGATACTATATTTGACACACTGTCTAATCTCCTACCTATTTAGAGCCAGGTACCACCTAGGGACAATGAAGTCTTGTCTGGGACAAAATACTGGAGACTTCTAGAAACCCCACAGGATCACGTATATGTATGTACATGGTTCAGTATCGTTGGGGTTAAATATATCGTTGTGCGTAAATTATATACATTGCCATTTTAAGTACAATTCAGTAACACCGATCATAGTCACACGTTGTACAACCAGCACCGTTATCTACTTCCAAAACTTCTCCATCAACCCAAACAGAAACTCAGTATCCCTTAAAAGCAGTAACTCCCCATTCCTCCAGCCCCTAGTAACTACGAATGAACTGGTATCTCTCTGTATCTGCCTACTCTTCATATTGCATACACAAGAAGGCTTCAGAAACATCGTGGGAAAATGGCATTATCGTTTAATTCTATTTTCCCGTGAACTTTTGGAAGCCCCCTCATAAGTGGGAGATTGCTTTTCTAAGCATGGGGGTGGGGTGACTAACGCCATCTCTTGACTTTGGAACTTCCTCTTTGACATATGCAACACATTCAGAAGCAGCTGGCTAGAATTATGTGACCGGGGTTCGAGGGACAGTCAAAACTTCTTCCATAACCCGTAGGCATGGGCATCCCTAGTCTGGATGGTGGCTCCATATGGTATGGCCATCAGTATGGCCAAACT